ATTAAAAAAAAATTTTTTTTTGCGCCAGTCTGCGCGGACGCCGCCGCGGGTGGAAACTCGCGGGGCTTGGGGCTCCCGGCGCCTCAGGCAGCCTGTGGGCCGGGGCTCCGGCGCGGGGCAGCGTCCCCGGCGCCCGAGCAGAGGCTCGCTCCGTGCGCAGTTCCCCCCACGGTCCCCCCTCATTTGCCTTTGTGTGGATCCTGACCCGCCGGCTCCCGGCCGCGGGGATCCGGCCGCCGCGCGGGCTGGGGAGCTGCCAGAGGCGCTTTCCCCGCCGCGGCGCTGCCCCAGACTCACCCTCAGCGAGGCACAGAGTCGCCCAGTGCCCGTCCGGCTCTCACTTGCCCCGGCGCTGTCTCTATGGAGCTCAATGTACTGCAATGGCTGTGAGAGCGGGAGCCAGACGCAGCCTCCTCACTCTCTCCGCTCTGTAACATTACTCTCCAGCCAGCGCGGCTCCTATTGGCTACCGCCAACTCACGGGGCTCGCTCATTGGCCCGATACCTCCCATTGTCCTGACCAGAGCCCGTTTGCTATTGGCTGTCTCCGGGGACACGTCATCAAGGATTGAAACAGCGCGTAAATCTGAATGTGTGTGTATGCCGGGCAAAGAGGCTGAGGCGGGAGAGGCAGAGGCAGAGGCAGCAGCTGCTACGGGAAAGCAGAGCTCTATGGTGTATGTGTGCATGTGTCTAACCCAAGCCAGCCCCACACCGGAGCGGCCGCCGGAGCGAAAAGGGCCTGACTTTTCCACAAGTGCCTCCAACTCCTCAGGCAAAAGAGACACCCACAGGCCTCGCCCCCCCTTCTTGCCCCACACTCACGCCCAAAGTCGTTAAGATACGAGGCCCCAGGCTTTTAATGGCCCTTCAAAAGTGGGAGCGACACTATGAGAGAATGTCCCCTAAAAACTGGGGTCTCTGCTAGTGCAGAGGGGCGGAAGCCGCCGAGTCTCGAGCCCCTCAACAGCCTCTGGTTGCTTTACACTTTAGGTCTCTGGAAAGGCAGGGCTTCTATAAGAGAGTGACATGATCCAGCCAGCCGGGTTTAAAATGCCCCTTTTCTGGGCTCATAAGCCGTCACGTCAGGCTTGCCGAGCAGCTGAAATCTTGACTCACTGAGCAGGCATTCAGTTTCACCCTTTTTCTGGGTTTGATCGAGTTTCACAGCATGTCTAGAACTTTGTATTTAAATACAAAGCCCTGTCTTAACTTCCTGGACATCAAATAATTATTCCTGGTAATTAAAGCACCGCCACTTCGTTTTGATATGGGGTACTCTAGCAGGAAATGTTTGTGAGAGCCTGCTAGAATTAACAAATTCATTAGAGGCCACATTTTAAACTGTTTGGCTATTTTATTTGACTTGGTGTGGATTACTGTTATAATCAAACGAATCCTTGTGATGCTATCTTTCCTTCCCATCACACCACTTAGTGCATCCATGTAACTGCTCTAGGATTACAGGAGTTGTAGGTATATTGTTACCCGAAGGATTAGATGTAGGCAGAGAGTGCATATGCCCAAATCCACAGGCTGTGGTTTCTCTAACTCACCAAGCTGGCTGGTATTAATAGACATACTTATGTCTGTACAGAAAATGTGCTGCCTGTAATGGTTAGTTCTGAAGACGGTTTAGTTGTATCAGTCCTTTATGAAACTACTATCTATTCCTTTTAGCCTGAGCAGACCACACCCCTATTCAGTTATAATAGACTTCCCCTTTCCCCCCACTTTCTAATGGTATTTTATACACTTCTAAATCCAACAACCAATTTCTCCAAATTTAATTAGATCAAAGTTAAAGCAAATCACCTATATTGTGTTCATTTGATTTTTTATATCGCTTCTAAGCATCCGTAACCCAATTTATTTACTCAAATTTATTAAACTATTTGAGAATACGCTTAGATAACCTTTCCTGTTTTAATGTTTATTCCTTTTTTTGAAAAATACACTATTGGTCTCAGGGATTGTAGTGGTGAATGGACAATGTACCACATGCATGTGGAAAAGGCTATATAATATTAAAGAAGATATAAACTTGTATAATGTACAATGTTTTCAAAAAATATATCTAAAGTTAACTTTTATATTGTTATTTTTCCATATATTTACTCTTCTCTACTTCCCTCTGCTAATCATTCAAATTTTGTATTTTATTTAAATCTAGATATTTACTTCAATATTGTTTTATCTCCTCAATGCCTTGTATTACAAAATATTCATGAGAATGATTAAGATACTTTCAGTGGCATCCATGATATGAAAATCTGACTATTATTTGAATATGGCACTATTAATATTTTCCAGGAGCAGTGTTGCATTTGCACTGTCCCAGCCACACACTTCACCAGTTGTCTATACCAGCTTACTCCTGCAAGGGTGTGTTTATGGCCACAGGACAACATGAGAGCAATGGGCCCACCCGAGGTTTTTATTTTGGCACAATGGTATGGTGAGTAATAGGCACTGGAATTAAACAGACTTGGGTTCGAATCCGAGCTCTGCTACTTACTAGCTCTATGATCTTGGGCAAGTTTTTAAACCTCTTTGTGCTTCAATTCTCTCAGCTATAAAATGGAAGGGACCATAGGGTTGTTGTAGAGATTAAATGTTTTTTAAAGGCTTAAAATTATGTTATGCAGACCCCTTCAATCCCGTAATTTAGAAAACCTCAAGTGCACTTAACCTTGAGTTTTTCTTCATATTTTAATTTCATATGAGGGCAGTGGTTGCAAATCTAGTTTTTTTTTTTTAAATCCTAACCTCAAACAGCACTAATCTTCCTCCAGTGTGGTGAGGGTACCTTTATTTATTCCCAAGTGTAACAGAGGGCATGTCAGAGAGAAGAGTTTAAAAACCACCACTTGCAGGCACTTCATTTCTTATATTTGATTTTCCATAATGTAGGTGGGGAAGGACATAAAAAGGAAAGAATTTTAAAATAAAACCTACAACTTCTAGCCTTAACCCTGCAACCTTGATGTTCACTTATTCATGATATTAGACTCTTTTCTTCTTATATATGAGCCCTTAGTTACAAATTGACATATCTTTTACTTTAGAGTTATTGGGTGTTTTACCCCAAATTACAAAGTTATCTAACTGAAAAAACCTGAAGACCCTCTCCCATGCACAATTTAGCCAACTGAATTACAGATCTTCATTAATATAGTCTATGCCCTTCCTTGATCCCCTCTAGGATAGGGGAAGTGTCTCTCTTCTTCAATCCCACATTAATTCTGCACATTAATTACTGCACTCCCAATTGTGATCATCCCGTTCTGTGTCTGCTTGTCTCACTGTACTACACCCCTTAAAGGCAGGAACCCTATCTTATCTTGCAATCCCAGGTCCTAGCACAGTGCCTCGCCAAGAGCAGGCACTAAATAAAGTATGTCGAGTACATGAATTAATAGTCAAAAGAATATTTATTGAAAATTATTGTTTTAACCTCCTTCTTCCATCTTTGGGTCTAAGCATTTGGATCTTTCTAAATCAGAAGGCAGGAAAATAGAATAATAAGGAATAAGAAAATGTTAGGATACTAAACTGGGGATAGGGCCAGGTGCGGTGGCTCATGCCTATAATCCTAGCACTCTGGGAGGCCCAGACTGAGGATTGATTGAGGCCAGGAGTTTGAGACCAGCCTGACCAAGAGTGAGACCCTGTCTCTATGAAAAATTAGCCAGGCGTGGTGGCGTGAGCCTGTAGTCCCAGCAACTTGGGTGGTTGAGGCAGGAAGATCGCTTGAGCCTGGGAGTTCGAGGTTGCAATGAGCTGTGATGACGCCACTATACTCTGGCCTGGGCGACAGAGGGAGACCCTGTCTCAAAATAAATAAATAAATAAATTGAGCATAAATGCCAGTTACACCTTATTCATATGCGAATAACTTAAAAAGGAGGAAGCACAGCGAAAGGAGGTGAGAGGAGATCTCGAATGTAGATAAACACATTCAGTCCTAGTATTTACCAGTTCTCAACTAGGCCAAGGTTATTCCTTGGTGGATACAGTGAATTATGGCAAGTCAAATACAAATTTATCACAGAAAACTGTAAGAATGTCTGCCCAAAGATTGCTTCTAATCGGCTTTTGGAAGTTAACTCTAATGTAAAAAAATGCAAAACGCAGACAGGGACCTGTAAGTCTCTCATTGGCTGAAGGATATTGATTCTTCCCCAATGCGATGAATCCTAAAGCCAGGCTATGGGAATTCTCTTGTCTCTTTGTAAAAAGGGCCAGTTTCTGAAAAGGAGTTGAAACAGTAAACCAAATGTCTGATGAGATCAACCATACTAAGGATCTCACATACTGAAAACTTTTTTTCCCCCCCTAGGGTGGTAAAAATAAAGGAAAGAGGAATTCAGGAAAAGAAGAGAGCACATATTTGTGAACTCCAGACCAGAGGTGAGGACACTGAGTTCCAGTCCCCTCAACACACAAAGCATGGACTTCCAGTAGCCATTAAGGTCTTTGCTCAGTTTCCCCAACACTTACTTAGGGCTATTCCTACCTTACCTAACTTGAAAGGATGTTTCATGACTGAATAGATAGGCACAAAGAAAGACCAGAGGTGGAGAGGAGCGAAGTGGTGCTATCACTGTCAGTATTTGGAGGAGGAAAACCTCTTCCCCAGCTGCTGAAGTACTTCCTGCCTCGGCCTGGGTTTTCTGGGGAAATCAGTGGCTTCAGCTGTGGGCAGCACAGATGATGGCTGAGGCAGAGAAGATGATGCCAAAGCTAATTTACATTAATCATTTCTCTAGAATTGGAATATTTCACTGGTTAGAAAGAGAGAAATATCATACCTTTCCTTAATGAGGGGACTGCCCTCTGGTTAGTCAAAGAACGGTACACATGAAGGGGGGAAACTCGTTAGTACAAAATGGTGATCTAAATTCAGAACAGATCACTCGTTTAGGTCTTGATCTCAATAACCACATCAATAGATTAAATTCAGCTACCCTATTAAAAGTGCCTTACACCTTAAGAATAAATGTCTCACCACATATCCAAGAGAATAGCTGTAATCAAAAAGACAGACAACAGCAAGTATGGGTGAGGATGTGGAGAAAGAAATTGGAAGCCTTATGCATTGCTGGTGGGAACGTAAAATGGTGCAGGCACTTTGGAAAACAGTTTGGCAGTTCCTCAAAAGGCTAAACATAGATAGTCACCATATGACCCAGGAATTCCACTCCTAGGCATATACCCAAGAGAAACAAAAACATGTCCACACAAACACCTGTACATGAATCTTCACAGTGGCTTTATTTGTAATAAACAAAAAGTGGAAACAACTCAACTGTCTATCAACTGGTAAGTGGATAAATAAAATGTGGTATATCCACACAATCAAGTATATTTGACATTATGCTAAATGAAAGAGGCCAGACAGTAAAAGGACACATATTGTACCATTCCATTTACATGAAATGTCCAGAACAGGACATTTTATAGA